GAGGGAAGGAGGTGAGGATGCAAAAAAGGAATCGTTTTGACACGTACATTTCCTACTGTAAGAACATTGATCTCCAAATGGATTCTTTTGTTTTGAATCTTTTGGATTATTGATCCACAGTGATGAAATCCCTAGGACAGTTTTTCAATCTTCATGTCATTTAGTACCTTGTGCTAAAGACTGAGGCTATTTTTATTTTCTCCAGGACAAATTGTTTCTAAGAATTGATTGACCAACTAAGGCACAAGATCATAAATAATAGATTTCACTGGTAAAGGGACCTACTCTAATATTAACTCCAAGAATCAGAAACTAAAAAGCACATAAAGTACATGGGCATATAGTGAATTCTCAGCGAATGTTGGCTTTTATTATTATGTGATCATGGAATTAACACCCACTCATTTTCCCTTGAGTTATAAGTTGCTGTTGACCCATGGGTAGTTTCTAAGAAGACAAGATTCCTGCAACTGCAGGAAGCGGGAAATATACCTTCCCATTAGTGTTGTCTTCTCCAAAGAGTGTTATCCAGACTACTATGTGAGATGCTTGGGATCATTTTGGGTGGTATGCAGACCTTTTAAATAATATTCTTTAAAATAGTCTGTATTTAAATCTAGACATAACTACTAAAATATTTGTGTTTAAGGTTGTTTTCTTTTTATGACAAAAGACAATGGTTTTATTTTTTGCTGATATAAAGTTTCCTTTTAAAATACATTTTTCAAGTGAAAGAAGTTGATTCAAAGAAAGCTGCTAAGTAATAACAGCACAAGTGGTATTTTTACCCAGAATTGGTAAAAATTGCGATGGTGGTATGCAAATGACTGACTTTAAGAAGTACTATATGAGTAAATTGAACCTGCTTGCTCCCCATTTTCCTGCATATGAGAGTCATCAACACTCATTTCATGGAGTTTGAATCTATAGTACAATTACAAAATTTGTGCTATACATGGACCTTGAGATCATCACAGAATACGTCCTTTATTTTAGGCAGATGGTTTCCAAGGTCTAGAGATGTTGTGCCTTGATTAAGTATAATACATTGGGAGGAACCATGATTTTACCGTATTAGAGAAAACAGTGTTTTTAGTGGTCTAGACCTCAAAAGTAGAAAAGGGATAGTTGGCTAGGGGTGGTGGCTCATGCCTGTAATCCTAGTGCTTTGGGAGGCCGAGGCAGGAGGACTGCTTGAGGCCAGGAGTTTGAGGCCAGCCTGGGCAACATAGTGAGACCCTGTCTCTACAAAAAAAATTAAAGTAAAATCAGCCAGGCATGGTGGTACGAGCCTGTAGTCCAGCTACTCAGGAAGCTGAGGCAGGAGGATTGCTTGAGGCCGGGAGTTGGAGGCTGCAGTGAGCTATGATGACGACACAGCACTTTAGCTTGGGTGACAGAGTGAGACCCAAAAGGGTTAGTCCTTTACCCTCAGTTCACAAGGAGAGAGACATTGGAAGAGAGACAAAGTTGACGATGAGAATGGAAATTGTCTCAGGAAAGGATCTCAAGGGACATATGACTTGAAATATTTGAACATCTTTTGCTTAGAAGAAGATTACATGTGTTCTCCTTGACTTCAAGGTGTGTAAGTAGGGGGCCGAAATTTTAGGAAGATGGATTTTAGCTCAATGAGAGGAAATATGTTTTGTTAATTAAAGAAGGAATGAGCTATCTTAAGAGATGATGGGCTCCCCAAGACAAGAGGTATTTATTTAAGCAGAGCCATGATGACCCTAGGGTACCTGGGGACAAGTGCTGGAGGGTGTTGGAGGTGGCTGACCTAAGGTCCTTTCTTTCCCGTCAAGAGGTCTAAGGCAGTCTTTCTAGCCTTTCAAACAGCTCCTCAAGGGGAGCCATTATCTGCAGTTACTGTCTCAGTTTTATGTAAAAAGCAGTTATTCAGGAATTTCCTCAAATAACACTTTTTATTCCTGAATATATGCAAAAGAATTATAAGAAACTTACTGGTGCTAAATGAGAAAACACATGAACATTAAGTCAGCTAGTTTAACTACATGCTTACTACAAGATATTTTAAAAATCAGGCTGTTAAATATTTGATAGTGGGAGATTTGCATTTTAATCAAGGTGTTGTTTAACAATATCTAGTAAAACTACAAGAGAAATATAGGTTAGTCTGGTAAATTGAAATTTCCATCATTTCACACTCAGGAAGCTGCCATTAAGAGCTTATTCTTGGAGTATAAAATGCAGAATTGTTAGGTTGAACCAGGTGAAATCATCATCTTGTAGCTAAAAGCCTACGCTGGCAATTCCATGTGGTTCAACCTAATAGTAATGCATTTATAAACAATTTTATGATTACTAATATATTTAGACATAGTTTTCTACTAAACTCAGTATTTTCCTTACCATACTGATCAAAGAAACATTATCACAGTTAAGTCAAATTATACTTCAGCATGAATTCCTCTATAAAGGCTCTGAGTTCCTTTTAGCTTGTTATTGCACAGTGGATTTTTCATTTGCCAAGACATTAAGCCCTCTAATGTGCAAATCATTAAGAAGTCAATTGTTATTGTTCCAGCAAGGTTTGCCCAGAGGTGAAAAACAAGATAAAACTCAGGCACTAGCTGAAACCAGGTGGGGAGACCGTGTGTGGTAGTGCTTGGGGGTGCAGGGCACCTATTACTGAAATGAGGATTTGACAAAGTATAATCCCTGCTTCAGTGCCTTGTTCACATGAGAAACCAAAGCTTCAATTTAACTACAGGCAATAGGAGCTTCACACTGTCAGCACCAACTGTCTAAAATCCAAAACTAGTATCCAAATGTGTAGGATCAAAACCAAAAATGTGGAGGGATCTAGTTAAATTTCAGTAGATACACATGACCTCAGATTCCCTTTTCAAATATAGCCAAAGTATTGTATCATTTCCATGGGGCATTTACCTTACCATGTTAAAATGAAATAGCTCCTATTTACTTCCCTTAAAGTCTCTGCTTTATAGAATACACAATTATCATGTACTGGAGGAGAGCCACTTAAAAAGGCTTGTTGACAGATGGGAAAAGTTGCAGAATTAAAAATTCCCGTGAAATAAAATGGGGAACTATGGAGAATTCCCCTCTCCCATTTGTAGTTACAAATTTATAAAATTTAAGCTCTCAAACTTTATGCATTCATACTCAAAATAAATGCACTAAAAATCAAGGCTATTTGGAGCAGTTCAGGTGTTGAGATAGAAAGTAGTTTGATCTATTTTATAGTTGAAACAGGCTCAAGAGTTTAAGCTACTTGCCCGATGCCTGTGCGGATATAGGGGAAAAAAAAAATCAAAGACCTCTGCCATATCCCACATTCTCTCCAAACATTGGAGTCTATTTATATCACTCTGACAAAGGGGGATTTGACTTCAATCTTCGCCCCTTGAGGTTAAGAGCTGTCAAATCTCATCCAACTTATTACACTCATCAGCCAATTGCCAGTGTTGTCAGGGCAGGCTTGGTCTGGACAGACTTGTTTTCCCAGTGCCATCTCCAGCTTAGCAAAGGAACCACTTCTGTGCTCTTAGAGCCTTTGATACCCTAGTAAATAACCTGGTATCTTGCTCTGGTGCCGTTTTCCACCCATATTAAACAATGTCTCTGTCCCATTTTGACTACTAGGGAATGTATCAAAGAGGTTATCCAATTTGTCTGGGATGAGATGGCTGAAGTTCTTAGCCATACAATGTCATAGATTTCTTCATACTCCTCATATGTTAATGCAGAAACATATTCCCTTTACTTTTGGAGTCAAAGACCAACCTCCATGTGACGTGACTATAACGTAAGAAAACTGATTTTCACAAATGTCTCCTACAAATGAACTTTTGATTTGCAGCAATTTATAGACATAGCTGGATGAGACAAGGGCCCTGAGTATACAAATTTATAACGGCTGAGTGGCCATTCCATATTGTCATTGCATTACAGAAACAAAATTGTATGCTTGTCTTGCATACAGATACTTACTGCATTAAAAACACTGAGACCTTTTCTTTCATATTTTTATTACATTTGGACCTTTAAGAAACATATACCATCAGATATACCACTGTTCAGTAAAAATCTATTCTAGTTTTTGGGAAGCACATGTCACAAACTATCTTGCTTCTAATCTCTAAGACTTTACTGAGTTTATCAAAAAGGTAGGCTCTGATCGATGGGATCCTGAGCCTTGAGGTTTTGAATGTTTTGATTATTGTAAAACAATTTCAAGTGGATAAACTTAATTCCCAGCTGTTTTTCTTCTGGAATGGGCTGATCATTTTGAAGTTATCTAGTCCATTACAAGAATATTCAATTCCTTGAGCTTGGTAATCTGTCTTTGGAAAGCCTGGTAAAAAAGTAATTTTTTTTTTCTGTACAATAAGGATGAATTCACCAGAACATACCCAATATTAATTATAACAAAAAGCAGCAGATAATGTATATGTGCCGTGTTCACCTTACTGACTACTCATAAGTTAGTAACTACTCTAAGGAGACTATTTCTGGATCAATACGATCCAAGTGTAGTAGTAGTTGCAGGCTACACTCAACTCCTTAACATGATTCTTGATACCTGACATTGATTAAAAGTGAAAAAGGGTAAGTAAAGAAATACATACTCATACATGATTACGTTTTCAAGAAGCCACCCTTTGCGGAAGTAAACGAGAGGAGACTTTCAGGAAGCTGTTGATGGGGACTGGGGAGGTTTAAAGCTATGGCTTTGGTAAGCACCCAGGTGAGCTGTAGGAAGGCATGTGTAAGAGTAGATTCTGCAGCATCAAAGGATAATGCTCTAAAAGAGGTGGGTGTTTTCTCAATTACTCTAAATTCTGAGGCTTTCAGCAGTTGAGGGTTAGAAACAAGATCCAAAGAAAAAAGCCATCTTCATAACGCTTAAGAAAGGTGACTGTGCCCTTAAGGCTCATGATGCTCAATGGTCCAAAAGCCTTTGGGGCTGTAATATGGACAAGAAAAAAATTAATACACAAACCACATAACACCATTAAAACCAAAAAACATTTTTTTCATTTAAAAAAGTATTTAGAACACATAAAACAAGCCAACATCTATTCCTTTTTCTCGTCTTCTGGTATGGGATCTGTTGGTGGCTCCTCCACCGTGGCACTGTTGCTCTCTGAGCCGGTGTTGCTATCGCTGGTTCCTTCCTCTGCCATGCTGTCGACCCCCTCCTGCCCACTCTCCTTGTCCTCAGGAGTTGACGTGCCTTCTTCACCATTCTGTTGGCTTTCTGTTGTTTCTTCAAGGTGTGTCTCCTCTGCAATCACACATTTGTCACTGTCAGTTCCGACAAAATTTGCTCTAATTATGCTGACAGTATGTATAGAGCGGGACTGTCCAATATGGCAGCCACTAGCCACATGTGGTTGAGCACCTGAAATGAGCCAGGGTGACTGAAGAACTTTCGAGAATGTTTGGAACAATTTGGGGCATGAAAACCTACTTTTTAGTTGTAAATTTAGGAAATCTAAATACAGGTCAAATATTTCTGATGAAAATTTGGCTTCTGAATTGAGATGTGCTATAAATATAAAATACACGCTATATTTCAAAGACTTAGTATGAGAAAATATTAAAAAGTGAATAATTTAAAAAATGGTGATTACACATTAGAATATAATTTAGGTATTGGGTTAAATAATATATATTATTATTAAAATTAATTTCATTTGTTTTGCTTGACTTTAAAAAAATGTCACTAGTAGAAAATTTAAAATGTCACATGTGACCTACATTTTATTTCTATTGGACGGTGAGTGCTGCTCTACAGTGCTTTGGGTTAAATGAGGAGAAAGCAGGTGTAGAAATAATATAAGGTTCATATTTTAGATACTTTGTTACAAGTCATGCTGGGCTGTTTCCCATAAGAAATTAAAAGCATGAGGTTTTTGCTCTAATGTCTCAAATAATTTTCTTCAGTTTTTTTTCCCATAAGCTAGAAAGATAGAATCTGAGCAAAGACCTACAGGCCTTAAGAATAGGACATGCCCTATTCATGTACAAAACAGAGGCAAAGGACTGAGTGTTCTGTCTAGCTGCAAAATGAGCAAAGAACCATACCCCAATTCTCAAGCTCTTGTTTTAACCACAAAAATGTGCTCATGCTCCAAATTCATTAAGATCAAAAACATGTTCAAATAAAACAGAAAGAGGCTGAGCTAATGAAATTTAAAATATGACTATCTGTAAAATTAATCAGCTAGATTAAATTCTATAGAAATACTTGGTAAAGATATCTACATTCCATTACATGTTTTCCAAATGGTTGTCATTTGAGTACAAAATGTGATAATCAAAGGTTGTCATTTGAGTACCAAGTATGACTATGGTCCCTCCCATTTCTTGTAACGATGGTCCTGGGAGATGTTGGTTGTTTCCCATAACTACTTTTAGCTTAGTCCTGTTTACATAGTGCACTAGGCAGGATAAAACAGTGCTAGAAGGTAAGGTGATCTCAAACTTTCAAGTTAATAATCATTTAATTAGTACGTTAGGTAAGTTTTACATGTTATTTTTTACCTTGAGGGATGCTTTTAATTAGGAAAATCAGTACACCTTGGAAGTAAGAGTTTTTCCAGGATAGGACTGGCAATCTTTTCCCATAAAGGGTTGGACAGTAAATATTTTAGATTTTGTGGGCCAGGCAGTCTTTGTTGCAACTACCCAACTACACTGTTGTAGCCCAGAGCAGCCATAGACAATATGTACACAAATGGGTGTGGCTATCTTCCAGTAAAACTTATTTACAAAAACAGGTGGCGGGCAGGATTGGCCTGCAGGTATTACTTTGTTGAATGGTGTCCTAGGAAATCAAAGATGATCAATCTTAAGAGCAATAACCACATCTTGTCGAAATAATCTAAGCAATAGTGGTTAAAACATTGAATGTCAACATCATGTCAAATCCAGTACTGGAACTCATTCTCAGAGACAAGTACTAGAATACTTACAAATGAGGAAAATGAGATTAAATAATTTATCCAAAGTCGTAGTGCTAGCAAGTGGTGAAGTAGTATTAGATCCAGATCTGACTGACTCCAGAGCCAGGCAGGTCCTTAACCATTATACCATTCTACTTTATAGTCTCAAACAGAAAATGACATGACTCAGTCTGGGCACATAATCAAGACCTCAAATAGCAAGACTGAAGACAACGCACCACTGCTGATAATAGCATTTTAAGTGAATCTACTATAGAGATTAAGATTTGGGAAGAATTGGGTAGGTCAGAGAATAGCTCAAGAGGCAAGATTAATAGACTGACCTCTGAATAGTATTTAGAAAGAACGAAAAAAATTACAGGCAGCTGTACAAAGCCTTGACATCTCCTTTCTGTTGCCAGCGGGTTACCTGTCTCCATTGGAATGTTCTCGTCGTCTTTCTTTTCCTCAGCTTTATTTGCCGCGTGCTCTTCCTCAGGAACGATGCTGCTCTGACTGCGCTCC